GTTTTATGCTTGATATAGATTTGGCGTTTACCTTTTCCTAACATATAGGCAAGCAGTAGTTATTGCTTTGTTGGTAAAAGTTGGCGTTATTTCTGAAAAGCATACATGGGAATGGCAAACTGTAGAAGCCGTGGCCACAGGACTCCAGGTAAGTAGTGCTTCACCTCTGAACCCAATAGAACTTCACTATTTATTTGTTAAGCATTTTTATATATAATCTCACATAACACTACCACACACAGGCTATGGGGCCATGACTATTATCTTCACTCGACAAGTGAGGAAACAGGAAAACCCTGGAGAAAACAGCTGTAATTACCGATTTGTAACAGAACCAGGAATAAAACCTGGTTTTTGATCCTTCTAGTCCATTTCTTTCTGCAGTCTCCCTCTTAGTCCTTGGGTGGTGGATTGAGAATACAATGTACTTTGCCGAGAAATATTTGTCTGAGGTAGTATTTTTTGAAAAATGGACAAATGTATATAATCTGGGGGAAAAAATTTTTGATACTTAACATACTTTTCAAAAGTACTTGGAGCAAAATAGCAGTTTATAAAACTAGATTAAGTAAAAAGATGGCTAATTTTGTTGCTGCTGTTGTTATAGGACTTTATTATCTGTATTGAGATGTTCCTTGCTGCTATTGCTCATCACTACACATTCTCATATAAACCATATGTCCAAGAAGCAGAAGAGGGCTCATGCTTTGATTCCTTTCTGGCCATGTGGGATGTTTCAGATATCAGAGATGACATTTCTGAACAAGTGAGACATGTTGGTAAGTACCAGCCATTTAATTCTCCTGAAGTAGATTATTGTATTTTTCCTACTTAGGCCATTTACTAGTTATTTAAGAAATGAAAGAAAGAAAACCATTTAAAGCAGTAACAAGGTACAGGCCCTTCAAATTGGGGGGAGAGGAAAAAAAGGGGGTAGTGGGGAACTTTTTTTTATGATGGTAAGTTTATAATGGTTAAAATACTTTTTGGCTAATGTGAAATCTTTTGTATTACTTTAAAGGACGGACAGTCAGGGGACATCCTAGGAAAAAATTTTTTCCTGAGGATCAAGATCAAAATGAACACACAAGCTTGTTATCATCATCATCACAAGATGCAATTTCTGTTGCCTCTTCTATGCCACCTTCACCCATGGGTCACTACCAAGGGTTTGGACACACTGTGACTCCACAGACTACACCTACTACAGCTAAGATAAATGAGGAAATACTTAAAGATGCTACAGAAGAGAAAAAAGAGGCTTTAGATAAATCCGTGCACTCCTGAACAGTGTGCAAAAGCAAACTGCTACAACCATGTTATTCTATTACCTGGTATCCCTTGGCTCAGGATTTTGTGCTTGGGACAAGCCATAAATGATGGAAAATTTCAACATAAACACAGGGGAAAACCAGGTACAACTACTGGATTTATACATGTTGAGTTTTGTATATCACAAAATAATCAGTCTAAATTTCCTAGACTTAGACTTGATTTCTGAACATTAGAACATCACATACTCAAATGGTAGAAAATGACTACAGCTAAAATGCTCCTGATGTTACACTGCATTATCAAGAGGATGGACCTAAATGAGGAAAATTTAAAAATCAGTGCTTCCTACTACTGCTGCATGAATATAATGCTCTGGACAGAAAGCATAAATTCAGAAATATGAATTAGTGGAACTTAATCATAATCATGTGCCATATAAGCTTATCTAACAATTATTTCTCTACTTCCCAACTGAATGTCTTTCAATAAAGAAGAGTTTATCATTTATTTTCTGCAACTTTTTATGTCTCTCATTCTTTAAACCTAATGCTTTAACAAAAATGTTTTGATTAGAGGCACAGAGCAAAAGATGAAACAAATTTTTCCTCAGTGCTATTAAAAGTGGCAACAAATGTAAATTTGGCTGAGTGGTCTTGATTATTCATTAAACCATAGTTAAAAGACTTGTAGGTGTCATTTGGGAGAAAATTTTTACATAGGCAGTTTTCTCTAATTGCTAGTCAAAACTAAAATTGGATCATGTTTAACACTATAAGAGAAAAGAGAGATGGTAGTATGTTGCAAATATCAAAGATGAGTTGTTTCTCAAAACCTTTGATTTATATACTTATACACATACATTCATATATATGTATGTTTCACAATAGTAATTCAGATACAAAGACCTCATTTTGTTCAATATTATGAATTAAACATTTCTATTGAAAGAAAGTTATATATTAAAAACCTCAAAGATTCCACAAAATAGTATTTGAACTAATAAATGAAGTAAGACACAAAAATCAGTAACATTTTTATACACAAATAATGACCTAACTGAAAAATCAAGAAAAATAATCCCATTTATGACAGCATCAAAAATAAAATACTTAGGGGCTGGGGATGTGGCTCAAGTGGTAGCGCACTTGCCTGGCATGTGCAAGGCACTGGGTTCAATCCTCAGCACCACATAAAAAATAAATAAATTTAAAAAGAATGTTTAAAAACAAAATATTGAAAATAAATAAATAAATAAAATACTTAGAGGTAAATTAACAAGGGATCTAGAAAAATGTCTTACACTGATGAAACAAACTGAAGATGCAAACCAATGGAAAGATACCCTGTATAATGCCATTCCTATCAAAATCCCAATAGCCTTCTTTAAAGAAAAAAAAAAGACTTTAACATTGAAACACAAAAAGACCCCAAAGAGCCAAAACAATTCCAAGTAAGAAAAAGTTGGAGGCATTACATTTCCTGACTTAAAATTGCTACAAGCCAAGTGCAGAGAGAGGCTCATGACTATAGTCTCAGCTGAACTCAGGATGCTAAGGCAGGAGGATCACCTGAGCCCAGGAGTTCAAGACCAGCCTAGGCAGCAACATGAAAACCAATCTGAAAATTTATATATATATATATATATATTTGTTACAATAAATATGTGTTTATTATAAAGCTATAATAAAACAGTATGGGACTGGCATAAAAATGGACTCACAAATGAGTGAAACAGAATACTGAGACCATAAATAATTTTTGACAAGGGCATCAAGTTGACACAATGGAAAAAGGACAGTCAATAAATTATGCTGAGAAAACTGAATTTCCACATACAAAAGGATGAAATAGGAACCTTTCCTATACCAGACACAAAAATCTAAATGTATAGGAAATCTAAATGTAAAATTAGTATAAAACTCCTGAAAGAACAAAGACGATAGCTCAATGACTTTGAATATCATACGGAATGATTAGGTGCCAAAAGCAAAAATAAGTAAATAGAAGAACAGACCCTTCAATTCACATATTCCACATCTACAGATCTATATTGAACATGTATTTGCCATTATTCCCTGAACAAAATGGTGTAACAACTAACTAGTATTTTCAGTATATACAGTATTTATGTGTAAGGACTAAATAATACTTCACTGTATTAGGATTATAACTACAGATGATTTAAAATTTAAGGAAGGATATATGCAGGTAATATACAAATACCATACCATTTGACATAAGGGGACTTGAGTATTCGCATATTCCTATTTGCGGGGGTGGTCCTGGAACCTTCCCCTACTGAGGGACAACAACTGTACATCAAGATAAAAAAATGCATAGCAAAGGAAATAAAATATGGCAACCTACAGACTGGGAAAAAATATTTGCAAAGAATACACCCAATAGGGGTTAACATCTAAAATGTCAACTCAATGGTAGAAAAACCTTATCAAAAATGGGCAAAAGGTCTGAATAGACATGTCTACAAAGACGACGTGAAAATAGGCAGCATGTATGTGAGAAGGTTCTCCATATAATTAAGGAAATGCAATTTAAAACTACTGAGATACCAACACTCACCTGTTACTTATTAGGATGGCTGTTCTCAAAAGGTCAAAAGATACCATGCTGACAAGGTTATGGAGAACAGGGAGTTGTACACTGTTGGTGGGAATCAATATAGCCGTATAGCCATTACGGAAAACAGTATGGAAGTTGCTAAAGAAATTTAAAATAAAACCACTATGTGACCCAGCAATCCCTCTTCTAGGCATACACCTAAAGAAAATAAAATCACCATCATAAAGATACCTGCAATTCCATGTTCATCAATCACAGCAGTATTCACAATAGCCAAGTGATGGAAACAACCTAACTGCCTGTGAACCATGAATAGATAAAGAAACTAGTAGAATTATATATGAGTTCTATTCAGCCCTTGAGAAGAATAAGATCTTGCCATTTGAAAATTCAAATATACAGGGACTGGGGTTGTGGCTCAGTGGTAGAGCACTTGCCTCCCATGTGTGAGGCTCTGGGTTCAATTCTCAGCACCACATATAAATAAATAAAGGTCCACTGACAACTGAAAAAAAAATTAAAGAGAAAAAAAAAGAAAATTCAAATATACAGAGATACAGAATCAAACAATGGAAGGCACAGAACAGATATATAGAATGAATAAGTCTAGTGATCTAATGTACAACATGAGGACAGCAGGTAATAAATCCCGAAGTATGAGGTCTTAGCTGCTCTTGCTACAAAAATAAAACAAAAACTAGGTAACTGAAAACAATGTATGTTAATTTACTTCACTGTAACTCTTTATTATCTGTGTCCTAAAATCTGTTGTGTATCTTAAATACAAAAAATAAAATTTAACTTTTTTTAAAATTTAACTTAAAAAAAGATGGGTGGTATAACAATGATAGTTTTTTTTTTCTTAACAAATAATCATCTTTGTGCCTTTCTTATAAAGAACATAGCACGTAAAAGGCATGATAATAATCTCCCAATTTCAAAGGTCTAAGAATGGGAAGAATTATATTTCTTTTGAGCATCCAAATCAAAGTGCCTTTGGGTTCAACCCCAGTACCACCCACACAAAAAGAAATCCATACAGAGTCAAGTAAAACTAAAGTACCTAAAAATTTAAAAACTAATGATTTGTTCTTTTCCTGAAAGCAAGTCTGCAATAATATTTCTAAAATAATGCTATTTTTATGATCTTTTAAATGTACTTTATTAATGTTATTTTTTAAATTACAAGGAATTAAATTTTATGTACCCATTTTATGATTACAATCCCACTAATTCAGACAAGAACTTTGCAGTTGACGCTCTAACAGTTTTCATTAGAAAACCGCTCCTCATTGTTTCACTGTGATGCTGACGTTGCTTTTGTGGTGCTCAACACTAAGAACAAGTTCCTCTCCCATTTCAACCTGGATGGGAGTATCTAACACAACTGCGGCCTGTTTCCAGTGGGAGGCTTCACTTGAAGTATCCAACCGAATCTCTTCATCAAGGTACATATGGTACCAAAACGGAATAGCAGTCACTTGTCCAGATTTACAAATGTGTACCTTTGGGAATTAAGAAATTAAGAAAACTTCATTAGGATAAATGAAGTAGACTTTAATTAGTAAATCCTCTTTCTCTTTAAAATACATTTCTAAAATATATTTAACCACCCAATTCAAATTAGTATTAACCTGTTTTATTCACTAATACTCAAATCCATTTCTGTATATTGTTTAGAAAAGAAGCAAGATTTAAATCTTCAAAGTGGCTAAAGATATGTATATACAGTATTATCTAAGCTAATTATTTGGACCATAACAAGAGTTATCATTTTGTGTGTTGTCCTTACCTTCACTTCTCTGTTGGAGGTGTTCAAATATGGAGTCATTAAATCTAGTCTTAAGAGTTCCACTGGCTTGCTTAAAGGTATACAGGGCAATGAAGACAGGTCCAAAAATACACGGATAGGCACCTATAGAAAATGTAAAGTTTTCACTTTTACTCATTCTTTTTATGGTCTGGGCTCACCAAGTGTTTGATCTGTACTGGCTCAGTGTGACAGATGATGCTTTTTACATCTATTACCTCATTTCTTTTAGCATCCTAAGTCACAAGGACTTTCACTATTCCAGTTTTTCAGGAAAAATGAACCAAAGTTTAATCAGGTTAAATACCTGGCTAAGGCTTCAGTTACCTGTACATTTCTCACTTTCATGAACGCAAATTCAACATACTTGAGTCAAACAGATCCAAAAAATTGTAAACCTCAAGTTTGTTTACGAACTAAAGAAGCAAAATAGTACAACACTGAGTAGTAAGTTGTTTGACAAAAAAAAAGTTGTTTGACAAAAATATGCCAAATTCAACCAAATAGATTTCATTTGGAAAAGTATGTTTACTCCTAAAAGGCAGTGGTTCTCAACTTTGGCAGCAAATTGAAGTCACCTGGGGACCTTTTACATAGGTTTGATTGCTCAGGCCACAATCCACACCAACACCAATCAAAAGTAGGGACCCAGGTTTCAATTCTGAAAGTACTCTGATGTTCCAAATGTACAAAGTGAAAATCACTGCTATTATTTTAATCAATGTGAGTTGCAATGGAATCTTCCTATTAATAATTTTTAATCTCTTCCTCATTTGAAACATAAAGGAAACTCCTGCTTTCCTTTCTATAAAAGTCCTTCATGGTGAAACAGACCAGATACATCAACCTCTCCCTGGGCATCCTTGAAACCATCCAACCTTTCTTCTCCATAAAAATTCACAGTGACCTCCCATCTCATTTCCAGGATTCTTCATTATGCTTTTCATTCATGTTTCCATCCATCAATGAAAAAGCCCTAGATTTCCACATCACCTCGTATTGCCTAGACACTAACCCCTCATGGCTGTACCCATACCACACAGTATGATCCACTTTTGTTTCTCAATTTAACCTACTGGCCGCTCCTGCCTGTCATCTTTGTCAATTCCTTCTAGAAATATCCAACCGAATACCAATCAAGAGCTAGAAACCCAATCAAGAGCTCAGTTCTCAATCCTCTTTTTCTACCCCCACCCAAGGAGATTTCATCTGTCTATATCACCTATACACTGATTCCATATCATCTGTACTACTGACTGCCAAATTTACATCTTCAGTCTAGAGCTTTCTTTGAACTCTTATCAAACTGCTCAAAAGGCCCCTTCCAAAAATGTGGAACCATCCTCCTACTTCCTCCAGTAAATGCTACCTACCATTCCAAGTGCTTTAACCTGAAAAGACACTACAACACTCTATTACTACCACTTCAGGCTAAGCCCTACCACCTCTCCTAAATTTCTACAATAATCTGAGGCCTCTGCCAAACCTCCCAAGTATTCTACTCCTAACATCAGGTTCTGCCTCTGCTCAATGGCCCCCAGTTGTTCCCTTCCCCTTTCAGAGTAAAGGCCAAAGTCCTTACAATGGCCAAGAGGCTCTACAGGATCTGGCCTCATATTTCTCTGGGTTTTCTCTCAACTCTCTGAATATTTCAATCATGCCTCAGGCCATTTAATTTGCTGATTCTTTGACTCCAAACTGTTTGAATATCACTTACCCATGAGTCTTTCCTTAGATGTAACCTAGGTAAAATAGTATATTTCCAACATCCCCATTTATTTCCCTTAACCTGCTAGCATGTCTCACCATCTATCACACACTTTTATTTATTATCTTATCTCTTCCAATTTCAGTGCTAGCTCCATGAGTGTAGCAACTTAAGTTTCATAGCCATATTCTCAAATTCTAAAATAGTGCATGTGGTAGACATTTCATTAAATAGTTGCTGAATGAACAGAGTTCTTTATTGTATTTTTTAACAACCTCTCATTTTGTTTCACTGATTCACTCAATTGCCTAAGAGATAATCATATTAGAAGAGAGGCAATATTAATACCTAAGCAAATAATACATAAGCTATAGCATGTAAAACTACCAGGAAAGATTATGGAGCCTCTTCAGATGAGTGGTCATCTACTGAAGAAGTGAGACCACAGTATTATAGGCCAGCCACAGGCATACTGGTATAAAGAACACAGTGTTGTTTCTCCAGTCAGAATGGCAGCTATTAAAAAAACAAACAACAATAAGTGTTGGCAAGTAGGGGAAAAGGCACTCATACATTGCTGGTGGGACTGCAAAATGGTGCAGCCAATATGAAAAGCAATATGGAGATTCCTTGGAAAACTGGGAATGGAACCACCTTTGGACCCAGCTATCCCACTCCTTGGTCTTAAAAACAAGAACTTAAAAACAGCATACTACAGGGACACAGCCACATCAATGTTTATTGCAGCACAATTCATAATAGCTGAACTGAGGAACCAACCTAGATGCCTGTCAGTAGATGAATGGATAAAGAAAAATGTGGTATTTATACATAATGGAATATTACTCAGCAATAAAAGAGAATAAAATCATGACTTTTGCAGGTAAATAGATGGAGTTGGAGAATATAATGCTAAGTGAAGTCAGCCAATCCCAAAAAACCAAATGCCAAATGTTTTCTCTGATATAAGGAGGCTGATTCATAGTGGGGTTGGGAGGGGAAGCAAGTGAAGATTAGACTAACTCTAGACAGGGCAAAGGGGAAGAAGGGAAGGGAGGGGGCAAGGGATGTAAAAAAGATGGTAGAATGAGATGGACGTCATTACCCTGAGTACATGTACAAAGACACAAATGGTGTGAATATACTTTGTATACAACCAGAGATATGAAAAGTTGTGCTATATGTGTATAATATGAATTGTAATGCATTCTCGTGTCATTCATAACAAATTAGAATAAAATTTATTTTTAAAAAACACAGTGTTAGATTCAACCAATGTAGGGTCTTCCAAGGCCAGCAGAAATAATGAGAAATTTATGTTTCCACAAAAAGGTATATGAAAAACAGACCATGGGATATAAGCTCTTAAGAAAGGAAGGATACGAGATAGGAAATATAGTAAAAAGATGGCAGATGAACATGTATAATCCCAGAAATCCAAGAAAGTGAGGCAAGAAAATCACAAGTTCAAGGCCAGCCTCTGCTATTTAGTGAGACCCTGTCTCAAAATTTAAAAGGTTTTTTAAAAGAGCTGGAAAGGGCTGGGGCTGTAGCTCAGTAGCAGAGCGCTTGCCTAGCATGTGTGAGGCACTGGTTTGATCCTCAGCACCACATAAAAATAAACAAATAAATAAAGGTATTCTGTCCATCTACAATTACAAGAAAAATTTAAAAAAAAAAAAAGAGCTGGGGATATGGCTCAATGGTAGAACACCCTTGGTGGTGGGACACACACACACACACACACACACACAGCAGAATCAATATATGTAAATTCTGGTAGAATCAAAGAATTGTTTATGTCAGGATTAAGGGGAAATATGATAGAAAGAAGATGGCATTTTGGAGCATCCAGGAAATAATCTGTATCTTCTGCTAAGTGTATTCTCTTTATTAAAACCTCCAAAATACTGAGATTGAACTAACTATAAAATTTTAATTATCCAGCCTTGAATAAAGCAGTTCCTTCATTAATTTAAATTTACCAAGAGATACTGCTCTTGGACAATCTAACTGTAAACACTTAAATACTTACTATCCTTGGCCTTTAGAAACAAGTTTTAGATATCTTCTTTTAACTCTGTACTCAACATCCTACCTTCCAACATTCTGCTTTGGCCTATCACATCCCACCTATTCCCCTGTCTCTAACCAGAAACCTGTTCCAGAGATGTTCCATCCATACCCACTATTTTTAACTCACAAATCTGTGCTTTTCTGATAGTGCCTATGTCAGTTTAATCCTCATTTCTAAATCTTGGTTCCTCATCTCCTGGCTTGCCTTGCTCCAACTTCCTAGACTCCTAAATTCCTGTTCCCTGTGGCTGAACTTGACCCTGGACATTAGCTGCTCACACCTATCTGCTGCCAACTTGAGGTCTCAATGTAAGGTTCAAGTTTAGAATATAGATCTTCTGGAGACTTCTTTCTTGACAAGGAGTACCATTTTTTACAAGACCAAAACCTAGCACAAACTGTATTCATGGCAATATACCTTGGTTATTTTCTAACCCCTAGGTTGATTTTTACACATAATAAATCCCTGTGCTCTAAGAAACTGATTACATTCTAATGTAGCTAAACACAATGACTCAATAAAACCTCAATGAGAAATAAGGTAGATTATAGTGACATGAGTAAATCTTCTTTTCTAAATACTTACCTGAAACTGGTTAATAAAAGGTGCTATATTTAACCCAAGGGTGCGTTCTAGTCCTTGAACAGCATTCTCTTCTACCAGTGTTTGTGATTCCACCAGCAGCCCAAACATTAGCACATACTGAGGAAAGATCTTGCCTCCAGACTGTAGTAAACACCTAAAAGATAACACGTGTTTTTTAAAGTTTTTTGATTTCCTACATTTTATGAATATCAAATAACTAAGAATCATGAGTTACTAAGCCACACATTATGTATAGTCTAATGAACTTTGTGTTATTATCAGCTGGTAGTTCAGAATGGTAAAGCACTGGAAATAATTTCCCAACAAGTCAAACTTAAGGTGACCACTGACCTATGAAACAAAAATAACCAGTTGGCTGGATGATGGACACAAGTCCTCAGATGCAGGCAAGGGTCATCCATGGATATGAAAATTACAGGTTAAACATTCCTATCCTAAAATCCAAAATTTGAAACACTCGAAAATCAAAAACTTTTAGAATGCTACTTATAGGTATAAAATTCTACACCTGTGTATAAGGTGTGCATAAAACATAAATGAATTTCATGTGTAGACCTGGGCTCCATCCCTAAGCTATCTCATTAGGTTTATATGAATATTCAAAAATTCAAAAAAAAAAAATCAAACATTTCTGGTCCTAAGCATTTCAGGTAAGAGGTACTCATAATAATACCCCCACAAATGACCTGTTCATTACAAAGAGGGAAACTGTGGACAAAATGGTGATGCACCTTAAACCAAATGATCTGAGTTAACCTTAACAATCATGGGATAAAGCAGCACTATGTGCTTCCAAGTGTGACAAAACTTCTGTGGTAATCATTCCTCTCTAAAAATGGGTAATCTGGATCTAACCATAGGAAAATATGAAGAACAGTCTATAAAATAAATGGCTTAAATTCTTCAAAACTGTTAATGTCATGAAGACTGAGGAATTTTCAGAAAAAAGAGACTAAGGAAACATAAAAACTATCAGAATAAAGAAGATTAAGGAGACATGAACACTAAACATAAAATGTGACCCTGGATTGAATTCTGAGACCAAGAATTTAAAAAGTTATGAAGAACACTGTGACAAATAGTAAACTGGAGTAAGATTTTTAAGTGAGCTGGGTACAGTGGTACATACCTGTAATGCCAGCAACTTAGAAGGCTGAGGCAATTCAAGGACTCTCTGGGCAATTTACTGAGACCCTCAGCAACTTAGTGAGGCCCTGTCTCAAAATAAAAAAGGCTGGGGATGTAGCTCAGTGGTAAAGTACCACTGAATTCAATCCCCAGTACGAGAAAAAAAAAAAAAAATGTAGGCTTGATAATAATATAAAGCCCATGTAAATTTTCTGATTTTTGTTCACTACATATTGCATAGATGAATAACTTGTTCTTAAGACACATACTCCAAAGAAGTAGGGGTTCCCTGATACTCAGAACTTACTGTAAATGGTTCATGAAGAGAATCATAAAGCAGATGTGACAAAGCATTAATCATACCTGTGAATCCAGACTTGTGAATCTGGGTGTAAAGTAGAGGTTGTGTTCTTTGTCCATGCCACCCACCCACCGCTTTTTTTTTTTTGGATTGAACCTAGCTAGGGCACTCACTCTTTGGTTTCAATAATTTGCTAAAATGGTTCACAGAATTGAGAAAAAACATCTTACTTACATATACTGTTTTATTACAAAGAATACAATTCAGAAACAGCCAAACAGAAGGCATACATAGGGCAAAGGTAATACTGTAGTCTAGAATTACATACAATTCACCATCACTTCTCAAACTAATTCCCTGCTTCCTCAAAATAAAAATTTAAAATTTAATATGTTAATGTAAGTAAAATTTCCTAATTTTTGTGAGCTCTTCTAGCAAATTAATCAAACCTGAAGAGGAGATTTACAAATTGATAAATTTATAGCCAGTTGGTAGAATAGGTAACAACCTACTGTATGCAACTGGCACCTGAAGTTGGAGGCAGTCCTGCAGAACTGAGTACTCAACCTGGGGGATCTGATGCCATCTCCAGGTAGGTAGAAATAAATTTGAGGACACCCTGCTGGTGTACACTTAAGAACTTCTTGGTATGCGATGAGAAATCCCTGCACATCTGATGTCAGAACTATTATACTGAGTGGTTAGTGAGTAAAAGGAAAATAGGGTGTTTTTTTGTTTGTTTGTTTTTTTAATATAGAGGTATGGGAGAGGAGTATAGAGCTTTGCACACAAGCTATCCTCTAGCACCTCAATGTGTTCACCAACTTGGAAAGTCTGAACCTATCTGTTCTAAAGCAGGAGGGGGGCGGTGGTTGTTTGTTTGTAATGGAAATACCATTATACAGGCATAATTAATTCACTGGTCCCTGGTGATACATTATTCAATTCCCAGCCCCACTCCCTTCTCCAGGACTGAAATTTCCAACCTTCTAATCACATGGTTCCTCTGGCAACCAGCTCCCCCCCACCCCCTCCCCGCCTCCCAAAGCTGTTTAGAGGCTCACCTGGAGATATCTCATTAGAATGAACTCAGATATGGTTGGATTAAAAAAAAGGCACTCATTTTACCCTATCACCCATAAAATTCTAAGGTTTTAGAAGTTCTTCTATAGGAACTAGAGAACACCAATGTATATTTCTTATTATAACATCACAATATCCTAGGCAGTAACAAGAAATAATAGGCTGAAGAAAATGTCAACAATCATTTACCAAATCCTAAAAGTGAGAAAAGTTTGAACCACAAACTAGGAACCATGCCAAAGATACAAAAAGCAGTTCATAAAAATTACTTTAAAAGATGACATTCACATTACTTTAAAACATTCTAAAACTATTTTTTAACCTCAATGTTACTATCATGAACAGGAATGTTAAGTTATGTTCAGATAAAATACCACTGGACTTGAAACTGCTTATCTTTACCATAATGAGTATTTTGTCACACCTCTACTCCTTAATCCAACCCTTTAATTAAGTAATACTTCAGAACCATCTGTGTCTTCAACGATAAAAAATATGTTCCACTTTAAAAGTCTAACCATAAATGGTGAAAATACTGAAGTTTCAATGTTTCTTTGTACTCCAACCCTCCAAAATTTGAAATGTTAGATAAAAGCTTACCAAGCTTTCTTCTGTATTTTAATCTATATGAGTGAACAAGAGTCTAAGAATGAACATTTTAAACTAACGGCAAATATAGTCTTAAACGCATAAGCTTCTAAGTGACTCATTTCTTCTTGTGCTATTATTGTAGTCCAGTGAGAGAGATGCCCTTTATCATTCAGCCCATATCATTCTAATTTCATCCTTGATGTGTCATGAGTCCCCCTTACCCCAACACATACACAGAGGCTCAAGGCAGTAATAGCAAGGCCTGGGTGAGAGTATCTGCATGCTTCCGGCCCCATGCTCAAAATAATTCTACACATTCAGAAGTACCTATAAAGGAGACTGGGCTGCTACTTAGGCTGAAGCATTACTCAGAAGGTATTTGAGAAAGGGGATTGGGGAGAATCTTGGTTTAAACAAGGATTAAGGCTGCTACCAGCATTTAAGGCCCAGAGATGCCAAAGCTGAAGACACACCCACATGAGAACTGTCTCAACCAAAATGCCATTATTAATAACACCACTCTTCCCTCCTCATTGAGAAACACTGGGAAGGGGAGTTGCAGATAGCCTTCATGTAAGTTGTTCGTTACTAGGATAAAATATCATTCAGACAAAACAGACCCCCTAACAAATTGCTTTATCACCAAAACTGCTTTTTAAAAAATCATTTACAGGTTCCATTAAAATAAAATACCACTGCCTGAAAGCTTTTTCACTAGGATTAGGTAAAAGAAAAGAGTGCACATTTTTGGTAACTGCTACTCAACAAAGTACTGGAGTCTTAGCCAAGGATAAAAAATTTAAAAAATAAGAAAAAAAAAAAAAAAGACATTCAAATAGTAAAAGTGTCTCTGATTGTAGGCTTACATGTGGAAAACACTAAAGATTCTACCCCAACCCCCTCACAAAAAACAGAATAAACTAGTTTAGCAAAATCACAGGATAGAAAAAATATACAAATCATTTATGTTTCGATAAACTATCAATGAACAGTCTGAAAAGAAAATTTAAAAAAAAAATCTATTCACAATAGCATCTAAATACTTAGGAAAAATACAAAGGAAATAAAAGATTTGTACATTGAAGCCGGGCATGGTGGCACAAAACTGTAATCCCCAAAACTGAGAAGTCTGAGTCAGGAAAATCTAAAGTTCAAGGCCAGCTTTAGCAACTTCTGAGAGGCACTCAGAAGTTTAGTGGGACCCTTTCTCAAAATAAAAAGTTAAAGAGGGCTGGGGTAAGTGGTAAGTGGGTTCAATACCCAGAACCAAAAAAAAAAGAAAAAGAAAAGATTTGTTCATTGAAAACCATAGGGCTTTGCTGAAAAAAATTAAAGGCATACAGAAATGTAGACATTTCATGTTCATAGATGCAAATACAATATTGTTAAAATGTCCCCACTACCCAAAGTAATGCGCACATTCAATGCAGGCCCTATCAAAATACCAACAATGTTTTCTGCAGAAACAGAAAAATTCACCCTTAATTCATATGGACTCTTAAATGACCCTGAATAGACAAAGTCATCTTGAAAAAGAATATCAAAGGCCTCACTTTCCCTGATTTCAAAACACATTACAATACAAAGCAACAGTAACCAAAACACAGTGGTACTGGTATAAAGATAGATATACAGACCAATGGAGTAGAAGAGAGAGCCCATAAATTAACCCAAAAATGATGGTGGGGAAACTGGAAACACAAAAAAATAAAGATGGAACTTTACCTGACAACTGTATATAAAAATTAACTTGTGCTGGAGTCGTAGCTCAGTGATGAAGAGCCTGCATAACATGTAAGACCCTGGGTTTGAACCTCAGCACCACATTAAAGAATAAGTAAATAAATAAAAGTATTGTGTCCATCTACAACTAAACAAAATTTTTTTTTAATTAGCTCACAGTGGATTAAACACCTAAATAGAAGACCTAAAACTATAAAATTCCTAAAACAAAATTTTGGGAAAAAGCTTGAGGACACTGAATCTTGGAAGGCTGAAGCAGGAGGATCACAAGTTCAAGGTCAGCCTAA